GAGGGGCCGCCTCTGCCCGGGGCCGGCGCCCTCGGGGCTCTTGTCCCCCTATGGCCTCCCCCAGGACACCTCAGACTCGGACATCGCCCCGGGCAGGGACAGCCCGAGGCTGCCCAGCGCTGCCCAGTGCTGCCCGAGGCTGCCCAGTGCTGACCAGAGCTTGCCCAGTACTGCCCGGGGCTGCCCAGTGCTGCCTGGGGCTGCCCAGTGCTCACCAGGGCTGCCCAGCAGTGACCAGGGCTCACGATCAGGGCTGACCGGGGCCTCTCAGCATTCCCAGGGCTGCCCAGTGCTGCCCAGGGCTTCTCAGCACTCCCCCGTGCTTGCCCAGTGCTGCCCAGTGCCCCCATCCCCTCCCGGGCACATCGAGGGGCTCCCAGGCTGGGGACAGACCCCAATGCCCCATCAGTCCGCAGCTGCACTCGTGGCACCCAGGGGAGACCCCGAGGGCTCAGCTACCCCGGCACCCCTCACCCACCACAGGGCCCTGGGGACAGACCCCAAGGACGGATCCGGCCCTGGGCGTCCCCTGGCCCGCAGCCCACCGGACACGGCTCCCCCATGGCCACCTGGTGCAGCCATGGCCCTGCTGCCCTCGCTCCCCGCCGGGTGACCAGCTGCAGAGCTGGCCGTGGGCCCAGCGCCCGGTTCCCCCTCTCCCCATCCCCCCGATAAGGAGGGGAGCCTGCCTCAGGGTCAAGGCGACAACTCCGCAGCCGGTATAAAGGCTCCCTGCGCTGCCACAGCCCCGCAGCCGGCCCCACCATGCCGCTGCTGGGCATCCTGCTCCTGGTCCTGGCCCTGCTCTGCGCCTGGGGGCTGGCACGCCGGCGAGCCACCTTGGGGACGGGGACAGGTTTGGGGCGACCGCGAAGCCTGCCGTCCCTGCCGCTGGTGGGGAGCCTGCTGCAGCTGGCCGGGCACCCCCAGCTCCACCTGCGGCTCTGGCGCCTGCAGGGCCACTATGGCAGCCTCTATGCCCTCTGGATGGGCTCCCACTACGTGGTGGTGGTCAACAGCTACCAGCACGCCAGGGAGGTACTGCTGAAGAAGGGGAAGGCTTTCGCCGGACGGCCCCGCACTGTGAGTCAGCAGCAGGTTTCGGGGGGGGGGGGCCCCCCCACTGCGGCTTGGGGTAAGGTGGGAGATGCTTCCAAGAAAGGTGCCGGCACCCAGCAGGGTCCGTCTCCTCTCCTCATCCTGCCTGCAGCAAGGCAATGGCAGGGGCAGCCCCTCTCTGCCCTGTTCTCCAGGGCGAATCCTGCACATCCTCCATCCCAAGGGTGCCCGTTCTTCCCCTGGGCTGGGTGCATCTTGGGGCATGGGGATGTGGGTTCAGGGTCTCTGCACCTCCTGAGTTTCCTGGGCACCCCAGCCCCTAACCCTGGCATCTGTGCCCAAACCTCTCCATCGGTCCTTGGGGCAGGGGAAAAGCAAAGCTCATGGCCCAGGCTTTGCCCACCAGCGCTAACCACCAGCCCCCCCAGACCATCCCTGAGATGAGATGAGATGAGATGAGATGATCATCCACCCCCCGCAGCATCACCCCTCTCCAACACACAGCCCCTGCGGGACTGCCCTAAAGTGGGGTGACCCCGGGGCTGCCTGTCCCACAGGTGACCACGGACCTCCTGTCCCGGGGGGGCAAGGACATCGCCTTTGCCAGCTACGGACCCCTCTGGAAGTTCCAGCGCAAGTTGGTGCATGCTGCCCTCTCCATGTTCGGGGAGGGCTCGCTCGCCCTGGAGAGGATCAGTAAGTGCCCCCCACCAGTCCCCAGGCTCTCCCCCGCTCTGTCTTCCTCCTGTGCTTGATCTGGGTGGGACTCTTCCCTTCTTCATACCCTGATCCCCTGGGAACAGAGGCTCGGCCCCTCTCCTTCCATCCCCAGTCCTTTACTGACACCTCTCCCCATGTGTTTTCTGCCCTGAGCTTTGGCTCCCCTCGCTCACAGCTGGGGAAACTGAGGCATGGAGCCAGCTCCCGGCCCCCTGGGCTCCCCACTCCACCCAGGAGGAGCACCAAGCTGCATACGGAGACTTCTCTGTGCGTCTCCATCCTCTCTGCTCCTCCCCAGCACCCAGCATCATCCCTTCTGCCCGTCCCAGCCCCTGGAGGCTCAGCCCTGGCTGGGGGGGTGCTCTCTGTAGCCTGCACACCCTGAATGAGCGGGGGACCCCTCCTTCCAGCCTCCAGCTGGCCCCTCCACTCCCTTGGCTTCACCATCACCCCCTCACCTGCCTCTCCCCTCCACCCCAGTCTGCCGGGAGGCTGCGTCCCTGTGCGAGACACTCAGCGCTGCGCAGGATACGGCCCTGGACGTGGCTCCCGAGCTCACACGGGCTGTCACCAATGTAGTTTGCTCCCTCTGCTTCAACTCCTCGTACCGGCGCGGGGACCCTGAGTTCGAGGCCATGCTGGAGTACAGCCAGGGTATCGTGGATACTGTGGCCAAGGAGAGCTTGGTGGACATCTTCCCCTGGCTCCAGGTGAGCAGGGACAGGGGGGCTGCCTGTTCCTCTTACCTTAGACGAGAGGAAGGAGCTGGGATGTGTCCTGCAGGAGGGGGCTACCTGAGCATCCCGGAGTTAGGAAGGTCCCTGCCCCAGTATCCTACAAGAGCCAGTAACCTGGTGGGCATGGAGCGACTGCCTGCGGGCCTGCAGAGGCTGGGCTGAACTGGAGCCCCTTGCTGTAATGGGGCTTTTCTCCCCCAGATCTTCCCCAACAAGGACCTGGCCCTGCTGAAGAGATGCCTCAAGGTCCGGGACCAGCTGCTCCAGCAGAAGTTCACCGAACACAAGGTGCCAATGGGGCTAGGACAGGGAGATGCTTGGGAGCTGCAGGGTGCTGGAGCTGGGGTGGAGGGGACTGTGCCCAGCACAGCCCGGCTGATGCGTGTTCCCTGGCAGGAAGCCTTCTGCAGGGACGCCGTGAAGGACCTCATGGACGCCCTCCTGCAAGTAAGGTTCAGTGCTGAGAACAGCAGCCCCTCAGTGCCAGGGCTGGAGCTGACTGATGACCACCTCCTCATGACGGTAGGGGACATCTTTGGGGCCGGCGTGGAGACCACCACAACTGTGCTCAAATGGGCCGTGATCTACCTTCTCCACTACCCTGAGGTAGGGTCTGCGCCCCACAGTGGGGGGCCTGAGATCCCTCTGGCACCAGGGACATCGTGGGGGCTTTGGGGAAGGCAGGTGCCAAGAGAAATGTCAGGCTTTGCAAATAAGCAGGATCAGATTGTGGGCATTTTGCTTCTGCCCTGCACAACCTGCCAGGACATGCTGGTGATGCTGGGTGAACCCCACTGCTACGGGGAGCCCACACACACAGGGTACGCCCTACTCTCACCCCAGCCCTTGCTCCCCTCCCAGGTCCAGAGGAAGATCCAGGAGGAGATGGACCAGAAGATCGGCCTGGCACGTCACCCCCACCTCAGCGACCGCCCCCTGCTGCCCTACCTGGAGGCCACCATCAGCGAAGTGCTGCGCATCCGGCCCGTGTCCCCTCTGCTCATCCCGCATGTGTCCCTTGCTGACACCAGGTGAGACCCCACAGGGCACAGCTGGGACACGGGCAGAGAGACAGTGGGAGGGAGCGACCGTCTCACTCTGCGTTCACCTTGCAGCATCGGGGAATACTCCATCCCCAAGGGCGCCAGGGTCGTCATCAACCTCTGGTCTGTGCACCACGATGAGAAGGAGTGGGACAAGCCTGAGGAGTTCAACCCCGGTGGGTTGGGTGCTCCCCGTCCTCCTCGAGGGGCAGAGGACGGCAGGGTGGGTGCAGCAGGAGAGGCTGAGCCCAGGGCAGGCTAGGTGGTGGGAGGTCGGATCCTGCTCCCCCCTGGCTGGGGCATTTGCACCGTCTCTGCTCTTGCAGCTCATGGGAGGGACACACATGTGATGAACTTGGGCAGGTCTCAGACAGAAAGGACGGATCCCTGACGATGCCGTTGGTGCTCCTTCCCCTTGCAGGGCGCTTCCTGGATGAGCATGGCCAGCACATCCACTCGCCCTCGCCCAGCTACCTGCCTTTCGGGGCGGGGATCCGCGTCTGCCTGGGCGAAGTCCTGGCCAAGATGGAGCTCTTCCTCTTCCTGGCCTGGGTACTGCAGAGGTTCACGCTTGAGTGCCCCCAAGACCAGCCCCTGCCCTCGCTGGAGGGCAAGTTTGGCGTCGTGCTGCAGGTGCAGAAGTTTCAGGTGAAGGCCAGGCTGAGGGACGCCTGGCGAGCGGCCTCGTGATGGGGACGAGCCTTAGATCCTGGACAGTGGTGGGATGGGGTGGGACGGGACCATAAAGGCTATGCCCTGTCTGCCGCATGGATGCGGGATTGTCTGGATAAAATTGTTCCCAATGCAGCTTGGCTCCAGCTATTTTTTGGGAAGGCGATTGAGGGCAGGGGGAGGTGGGAGGGTGCCGGAAATGTATGGTGGCCCCACAACTTCGTGTGAGTACTGGGCCTAGGAGGCTGTGTGCTAACGCAAACAGCCCCTTTGCACCCCCAGGGATGTGGGGTTGGGGGCCTGTCCAGAGACAACCATGACCCATGGAGACCAGCCACCCACATAGCTGGTGGGGGGGAGAAGGGCCCACCCCAGCCAGGTAAGGGGAGAAAAGTGACCAGTGGGCAGTTTGAGGGTTAGGGATGCCCAGGCCGTGCCCGGTGGCTGTGACCCCAGGTGGGTGACCCTGGCTGGCCCCTGCCTCAGTTTCCCCACTGAGAGTAGGGAGAACAAATACAACATGGGCTGGGAGCTGAGCCCACCACGGGGCATGGAGAGCTCCCCCAGCCCTGCCATCCCCTGCCCCATCCCAGGACAGCG